AAAAAAAAAATATACATAAATATTTTCGTCCATCATCATCATCATCTCAACCACGAGTCCACAAAGCAAAGAGCGGAGAGAGGAAAGAAAATCCATGGCCAACAAGGAGATGAAGGACAAAATCGATAATCTCGATGTCCAATTCCGTGGCATGAGCGAAGCAATCGATACGTTAGGTGAAGGACTCGACAATACCAAGTCGACGGTGCAAGATCTAATGGAAACCATGAACCGGCGATTTGATGAGATGGCGCGCACGGTTCTCGCTCGCCTGCCACCGCCGGGGCAACGCGATCAGGCGCGACAGCACGACCTCGAGCGGCCTGAAGGAGAGGATTGGCGGCGCGAGGAGCATGAGCGCGAGGACAACCTCGATCGGCAGTCCCAGGCGTCCTCATACCGCGATCGGCGTGCACCCGACAAACCGCGCATCACGTTGTCCACATTCATGGGCAGCGATACAGACGCATGGCTCAATAGGGCAATACAATATTTTGAACTTAATGAAACCGACGGTACAGATCGCGTTAGGTATACCGCTTATTATCTCGATGGTGAGGCCAATGTATGGTGGCAATGGCTCACAAGGATTTATCGAAAGCGACAACAAATCATCACTTAGGAAGTTTTTGAAAGAGAGTTGCTTACACGGTTTGGTACATCTGATTACCACAACTACAACGAGGCTCTCGCACGCATACGGCAAACAGGTAGCCTACGCGAGTACATCAGAGAGTTTGAGCGTTTGGTCTGCCGCGTACGTGATTGGCCCGAAGATGCATTGGTCGGAGCGTTTGTAGGAGGGTTAAAATTCGACCTAGCTGTGGAGGTCCAACTCGAAAGGCCGGATACCATGCACGATGCAATGGAGGTTGCCCGACGACGCGAAGATCACTTGGTCGCTACGCGAAGGGGACGGGCGGATGTGCGATTCGCGGACACGCGACGCACGGGATCGAACCAAGCCGCGGTCGGCGCACGGCCAAACGTCAGCAATCGGCCAGCAGGGTCGATAGTAAGGCGGCTGTCCCCCGAGGAAGTTAAACGTCGACGTGAGAAGGGTCTCTGCTTTAAGTGTGAGGAGAAGTTTACTCCCGGTCATCAATGTAAGCAGGCCTTTGTCATCGAAGTGGCCAACCCCGACGATGAGGAAGTTGAGGTCGAGGAGGAATCACAGCAGGATGAGGTGAGTGAAGTACTTCATGAGGAGCCCGAAATCTCGATGCATGCAATGGCTGGAATCAGAGAACCAAGGA